ATATGGCAGTTTATGCTGGGAAGAGACTAGTTTTAGCTGCCGGGCAGGAAGGAGTTGAGTATACAATGCAGGGCTACTGAAGGATTTCAACCCAAAGGGACATCATGGAAGCTATGCTTTCAGGAAAATAAAACTGTGATCCATGAGTAAGAGGGCCTGGAAGAAGACAGGACTAAGGTGGAAAGGCTGATGTAGAGGGGTCTACAGGAATGTGCAGGGCAGGCTGTGAGGGCTGGAGCTGGGGCAGTGGCCTGGGGACAGAGAAGCTGGGAGAGACCCTGTAGAGGCTGAACGGGTAGAGCAGTGGGTATGGAAGTCAAGTTGACTGCAAGATTTTAACCTGATTGGCTAACAGGATGGGGTGTCTCATGAAAAGAAACAGGAAAGCTGGAAGAAGAGGGGAATATGGGGGCAGAAGCGCAGGCACAGAATATGAGGTACAGGGGTGCTGGGAGTTTACGAAGGAAGTTGGAGCCAGGACCAAGAACCTCTGTGGAGCTTGGAGATGTAAAAGTGTGAAATAGATGAGAATGTGAAGGGAGAAAATGTGGAGTCGAATCAAAAGTGTTGAGGCAGAACCTTAGAAAACATTTATGGTTAGTGGCAATAAGAAGAGAAGCCCAAAAAGTTAAAGCCAGAAAGACTGGAAGAGAAATGAGGGCAGCATGAGCTGGAAGTCAAGAAAGGAGGACAGTTGGAGAATGCAGCGGGTGACGGGCAAGGTGCAGGGACACAGGGATGAGACCCAAGAGTGGGCACTGGCGTTCGCAGCAGAGCCCCATGCAGAAGCAGCTTCAAAAGCTCCGAGAGGAAGGAGAGGGATTGGGGCTGAGTGCTTGGTGAGAAAGGGGAGGAGCAGCAAATATAGAAATATCTGTCACACAGACTGAGGATGAGGAAAGAGGAGAGACACCAGGACAGGTTCAAGGGGCAGAAGGAGGCAGAGAAAGTTTAGCAGAGGATAAAAGGAACCAGAGAAAGTTTAGCGGAGGATAAAGAAGCCAGTGTTCACAGACCAAGGGGCAGAATCCAGTGGAGCAGACAAAGAAAATGCCTGAGAGAGAAAGGAGCAACTAAGGCAACCAATGTATGCTGGCGGAAGGCCACCAAGAGTCCCAAGAGAGGGAAGCTTGGAGAGAATGACCTTCTTTTCTCCAGCAGAGAAACCAGAGCAAGAAAGCAGTTCTGGAAGCAGAGTTGATTGACAACCTCCAGTAGTCTTTGCACCTTTGGATTCACCCAGCATTTATTGCAGGTCATGCTGCTCCCAGACTGTTCCAGGCAGTGACTGAGCATGGCGGAGTGCTAGAACCACACCATTCCATCCCCAGCCCCATGTGACTCCTCCAATAGGCAACGTTTGCTCAAGGACTCCTCATTGGCCTGGCTGAGATGTAAAGAAAGCAGGAGAGGATCAAGAAACCTACAGATACAGAGCAGGGAGATGAGGAATACTTAGGGAGTTCACAAGGGAAGGCAATGTCCAGAAAACAGCAAGAGTGTGGGTGTAATAAAAGGAGAACAGGGTTGCAATAAGCATTGTGAGAAATGAAATCAACAGGAGAGAGAAAGCGAAATACACCAAGGAACACTAAGGACCACCTGATCTTGGGCAACACTCGCCCACGGTGCATCCGTTGGATTGTTTCTATGATTTTCTTTATAATGCACCAGGTAGGCAAGGAGCAGAGACAGAAGAAAGAGAGAGAGAATATCACTCTATTTGGGAGATTGATTATGAGGCCAACAGAGGGAGAAGGAGTCAAGGTCTCTTAAGGCCAGGTTAGAAATGCAACAGGACTAAGAGAAAAAAGATTGCCTGGTAATAGTGGCCTTGGAGGTATCGAGCTCCAATCTCCAAAATAATCTGCTCTGGAAGTAGGACTGATCTGCAGCCTGCAGTTGTCTCTGCACCTTTGGATCCATCCAGCATTCATTCCAGGCCAGGCCGCTCCCAGGCCGTTCCAGGTAATGACTGACAACAGTGGGGGTATCAGAACTGTGGCGTTCCATTCCCAACCCCATGGGACTCCTCCAAAAGGCAATGGTTGCTTGGGGACTTTTCAATGGCTCAGCTGCGATTTTTTTCTCTGAATTACATACGCGTGGTCTGAGGCACTTCTTACCTGACCCTTCCTTCCCTCTCTCCTTTCATGGGTATTGGAACTATCTAGCAGGTTGAAGCTCTTCCTGCCCACCCCAGCTACCTCTCATTCTATGCTTCACAGGAATTTCCCCCAATACAACTCTTGCATGTCTAATTGTTTTGGCTTTTGCTTGTTGGAGCTTCTGAACTGATACAAATGGAAGTGGTAATTACTCATGGAGAGTTTAGTAACTGAAAAGTGTAGGCAGTGAGGTGTGGCTACAAAGATGTGATGCTGACAGGAAGTAATCATGGAATTCTTTTATGAAATAATGATAGATTCACAAGAAGTTGGAAAAATAGTACAGAATCCCCTATATTCTTCACCCAGCTTCCTCCAATGGCAGCATCTTATATATTAAAACTAAGAAATTGACATCAATATAATATTCTCAACAAGTTTATACGATTTTATGCAATCAGTTTCTCATATTTTTGTCTCATAGATATATTGATCTCATCTTCACTGCAAAAAGTCACTTAAGTAATAGTTTATTTTTAAATAAACTAGCTCTATAACCACAAGGTTTGTAAGATAAAAATAAAGCTTCAGGTGGAAGGGGAAATAGAAAATGAGAGATGCCCATTGAGGAAAGAGCTCTCCATCCACCTGTGCATGCATGCATCCATCCATCCATCCACTTATTCATCCATCCATCCATCCATCTGTCCATCATCCATCCATCTATCCACCCAATCATTCACGTATGCATGCATGCATGTATCCATCCATCCATCCATCCATCCATCCATCCATCCATCCATCCATCCATCCATCCATGTTTGCCAAGCCTTCCCCAAGTGTCTGGAACCATGCACTTTCTGTTGCACTGAGATACTAACATCAAAATGGTAGCAGCAACTATTGTACTTCTGTTTGGGCTCAGATGCAATGAAGAACCAGTGTGTCTAGCTGTTTTGAGGGCAAAGAATATCCAGATCATTCCTGTGATTGTTTCCACACTGGCAGTAATTCAACTGATAGCAACCTTATGCTCAACAGCTAGGATCTTGCCTTTTTATGAGTCATTGTAAAGTGCCAAGTGCATTGACATATACTTCATAAATGCTAAATAATAACAAGTCAGTGAACCTAGAAGTATTGGATTCAGTATTCAAGACATTAAATCCAAGTTTGGCTGTTCTAGAAGCAAGGCAAACAAATAAATCAACCCCAACTCAAATGAAGCCCACATGCATCCCCAGCCAGCAGTGGGTATTGTATGGAATCCTCTTTACGGGTGAGTGGTTATCTCATGAAGGGGCACTTGTTAGTATTTTACCTGACAGATCACACACAATGCCTTGCCTGTGATTTGGGAGAAGAGTTTTATATCCAGCCCATGGTAGACAACAGCAACACTATATTCTTAAGGCTCCAATTCCCTTTCTTTGATGCCAGAAAATAATGTCTGCTGAAGCCCTGGAGAAGGGTAACAGTCACCCCACTGAGCAATTAGACTGATCCTGGCGGGGAGTCTCTGCAGGCAGTACTGGGAGACACTGTTTGTATTTCAAAGCCAGGATTTAGTTTTCCTTTAAGACCCAAGTCTTTTTAGGGGTCCCTGTGATTCCTTGAGGGTTTAGTCCCACAATCTACAAAGCCTGAAATGCCGCATAATCCTGTATTGGCAACTGAATTGGATACAGCATGGTCTGAGTGGTTTTCTGATTCACAGCCCAGAGCTCTGACCATGGCCTGGTGCAGTGTGATATAGGGTCTCTGGGCATGGCTGCTTCTCTCTAGGAGTCTGCCATCTTGGTTGCACCTGTGTACATGATTTACTGGGACTCACATTCCCTTAGCCATTTCATGTCATGACACCCTTAGGAGCAAAACCCAACCTTCCATAGCAAAAGACCAACAGCAAAGCTCATTGCAAATTAGGAGGCAATGACCATGACATATAAGGGAGTGACACAGACTGGCAAGATCACATTTGAACATCGTCTAGGAGGAGATGCCATTCTTCAGGGGTCACTTCCAAAAAAATTTTACTCATTCAATTGCAGCCAAGGGAAGCAGAGCCAAGGAGCCCACACACCAGACACCTATATCTGCCAATGAATTATTGAGTAAAGGACTGCAGAGCCAGGAACCAAAAGGTAGTACGACCATCAGGTGCTGATCTTGCTACGTTTTCTACAACTATAAGATGATTCCAGCCAGTTTCACATGGTGCAGGCCTAGCTCATTACATCTCCAGAAGTGATTATACATGTGAACAGTATGAAGTTTTCAATGGCTAGGATGGTGGTGCTCAAGTATTACTGAGCATCCCAGTCACCCAGAGAGTTCATAAAAAGGCAGATTTCTGTTCTACAACCTCAGAGATTCTGACTTGGTACATCTGGGATGAGGATGTTTTTAGCAGTGATGGGAGCAGATGGCCTGTCCACCATGCTTTTGGAAATCATTACTTTTAATCAGTGTTTCACAATCTTCACAAGCATGCAATTTAAATAGTTTAGGGAAACATTTTTAAAATAATCCAGTTTAAATTTCTCACTTTGCAGATGAAAAAACTGAGGGGTCAAGTAACTTTCTCAAGGTCACTCAGACAGTTACAAGTACAAACCTAGGATGACAAGTAACATTTAATCATAGTGCCCTTTGTACCATTTCCTTTGGGAATCTCCTCTCCATCAAGTCCTGTTGAACATGTACACATGTAAATAGAAACTAGAATGCATCTGGATTATAATCCAAATGTATTATAATGATGCTGTCTAAATTATAATGTAATTATAATGATGTGGGTGATTTTTATATTCATTGAAACAACTGGTGAGAACTTCAGTGTTGCAAAAACAAACACTAGAAAAAATGAATTCAGAAAGAAACGACACCTACCTTCCCCAAATTGATGGTGAAGGTGATGAGAGCAAGGACTCAAGGTTGTCTTCTTAACAAGCACCGCATCTAGGTTCCCCAAATCAGAGTCTATAATAGAACAAAAAGTAAATAGATTAAACAAAGTGTACATATTCCTGATACTGTATTGAAAGAAAAGTCCATGCTTTCCACAAGCAGACTGAAGTGTCATCAACATGGTCATTATCACTAGGTCAATACCTCACTTGACTTTCTGTCACCATTGTCAGTTTAAGCTGAAGAGTTCTATGTCTCAGCAAACTCCAGATGTGTCGTGACAAGGGTCATTGGAAAATGAGCCCATGGACTTGACTCTTAATTATTATAACAGAAGACCCCCTCAGCTATGGGTTATGAAGCTCTGAGAACTTTTGACTCATTTTTTGGTTCCTCTCTTGGAAGAGAATGAAAACTGGATACCCCCTCATTTCAAATGCATAGGAAGTCAGAGAAGGCAATCCAAGAAGAGTGACTAGATCTTCATGATTTCAGAGCTTATATTTGTACTCATTAATTAGTTAACTGATTGACTCTTTAATTCATTCAAGAATGATTTATGAAAACTTTTCATGTGCTAGGCAGTTGTTCTACTCAGTGAGATGCTAGGTTTTACCCAATGTGAAACAGGTTGGCTGAAAGAGGGAAAATATCCATCATTAGTTGTTAATTCTTTAATAATTTAGTGGAACAGCCAAGGTCTAACAATCTTGCAAGTTGGTTATACAGGCAAGGGCACTTAAGTGGGAGTCAAGTGACCCAGGTCAAGTTCTAGGAGACCTTGGGCTACAGGAAGGTTTCTCGACCTCAATAGTATTGATATTTGGGGCTGAGTAAATCTTTTTGGGGTGTGCGGGCTGTTTGTGCATTGTAAAATGTTTAGCAGTATTCCTGCCCTCTACCCACTAGATGCCAATAGCTTCTGTCCACCCTCCAGTTATGACAACCAAATGTGTCTCCAGATTTTGCCATATGTCCCTGATTAAGAATCACTGGAGTCTAGTAGTAACTACTATTTTTGAGTACCTCTTAGAGGCATTGTGCCACTGCTTAATACACATCTTCACATTCAGTCTCGACACCAGCTTTTCAAAGCAAACATTCTTATTTCTCTTCAAAATATAGTGAAACTAAAGTCCAGAGGTGCTAAAGGAATCATCCAATATTATACAACCAGAGAGCACGGGAAAAGATTTGAGCCCAGGGTTATTTGACTTCAAGGCTTATGTTCATTGTTCCCTATTATTTTGCTATGACATCATTTAAGCATTTGGAAAAGTACAGAGAATAACCTAATAAAGATCTGTGTACTTAGAAGTTCATTTTCACCAGTGCTAATGTTTTCTCCCATTGCTTTATGCTTTTGGACAATAAAATGGTATAAATGGAGATGGATCTTTCTGGTAGACTTTCTCAATCCTTTCCCTCTCACTTTCTTCCCCCAAATCACCATCTAACTGAGGTTGTTGCCCTGTCCTTCCTGGGAAAGATTTTATATTTTCTTACAGGCACATGAGTAGTCTCATAAATGATGTACAGCCCTTGAAGAAAAGTACATAAAGGTACAAAATCTTGTCCAATCGGTTTCCTTTACTCAACATTAACTTTTTGAGTTTTTACCATGTTGGAGCTGCAGTTTCAATTCTTTTATTTCAATTGTATTGGGGTAAATAGACCATGATGGCTTGAGCCATCCCCCTTTTGCTGGACACTTAGGTTGTCTCCTGTTTTTCACTGCTACAAGTCACAGTGCAGGGAACATGGCTGTGTACGTGTATGTGTGTGTGTACACACATGTGAGCGTTTCCCTAGAAAGACAGCTAGAGGCGGGATTTCTGGGTTGCAGGATGTACATATCTCTGACTTTATTAGATATTCTAAATTGCTCTCCAAAATGATTGTACTAAATTACACTCCCTCCAACACATTGTAAGGGCGTTCATTTCTTCACATCCCTGCCAACGTTCAGTATTTTCAAACTTTATAATGTTTGCCAGTCTGACTGGGGTGAAATAGCATATAATTATTGTTTCAAAAGCCTATGTTCTTAACCACTACTCTTACTGTCTACACTCCTTGAAGCTTCAGTTATGTAAAATGGAGAAAATACCTTTGCCGATTTCTTGAAGTAGTAATAAATTCTCCTGGTGTAATATGCGAATGCATTTTATAAACATGAAGTGCCACTTCTGTTCATTGCTGGCAGTGGGAGAGAAAATGTGCAGTTTCTATAGCAGGCAATTTGATGAAATCTATCAAAATTTCAAATGTACACGTATTTTCTTCTAACTTAAAAAACAATTTCAAAATTATAGAAAAGTTGCAAAAATAGTGAAGAGAATTTCTATACACCTAGACTGTCTAAACATTAACATTTTAATCACATTATAATTATATTTATGTGCACGTGTATTACATGTGCACACAATTTTTTCAGTGATGGTAACTCTGACAATTTTCTATAAACATTCTGCTATATAACCATGGAAAAGTTGTCAAAATCAAGATACTAACATTGCTATACTAATATTACCTAATTTATATATCTTATTCAAATGTTATCAACTGCCTTACCATTGTCCTTAATCAAAAAAAAAATATTTTTCTTCCTTCCCCAGGACCTAATCTAAGATCTGTTGTACTTAGTTGTCAAGTCTCTTAATTCCATTTCATATGGAATAATTCTTTAGTCCTTTTTTGTCTGTCAGGACCTTGACATTTTTGAAGAGGACTGGTTAGTTATTTTGAAGAAAATCCCTCATTTTAGGTTTGGCTGATTCTTCCCCACGATTAGATCCAGGGTATGCATTGTTGACAAAAATAACATTGAAGTGATGCTGTGTGCACCATATGTCAGTTCGCCCCCAGACGGGAGATGCTATTTCGATTGCTTGGTTAAAGTGGTGACTGCCAGGTTTTTATTGTTCTTTTTGTAATTGGCAAGTATCTTTTAGGGAGCTACTTTGATACATTGGAAATATTCTATTTATATCAGCATGGACTCATGGATTTAATGAGTTATACTGTGTTACTATCAGTTTATTTCGATGCCCAAATTGTTCTATGCTTGGCCAGTGGGGGGGGACCCTTCATTCTTGCTCCTGATGTGTGTCTTTTGACATGTCCCTATTTTTCCGTGAGCATTTCCTTACTTTCTGGCACAGTAAGATCTCCCAGGTTCATCTTCTGTCTTCCTAGCTCCTGTCCTGGAATGGACCATTTTCCAAGAGCTTTTGCTTCTTGAAGTAGAGAATAATATTTAGAAACCAAATCTGGGTGCTAGGCATGTTCTTTGTTGGTACACCTAACTTTTTTTTTTTTTTAGATGGAGTTTTGCTCTTGTTGCCCAGGCTGGAGTGCAATGGCACCATCTTGGCTCACTCCAACCTCCATCTCCCGGGTTCAAATGATTCTCCTGCCTCAGCCTCCTGAGTAGCTGGGATTACAGGCACCCACCACCATACTCGGATAATTTTTATATTTTTAGTAGAGGCAGAGTTTCACCATACTGGCCGGGCTGGTCTTGAACTCCTGACCTCAGGTGATCCACCCACCTTGGCCTCCCAAAATGCTGGGATTACGGGTGTGAGCCATCCCCCATTGCCAGCCTATGCACCTTTTAACCTAGCAATTTATCTTTCAGGAATTCTTGCAGCAGATAAACCCACACACTTGTTAAAGGATTTATGTGCAAGGTTATTAATTGCAGCATTCTATAGGATAGCAAAAGATTAGACATAACCTAAAGATCTATTAATAGGAGAGTGGCTAAATAAATTATTTGGATCGATACAATGAAATTCTATGTATCCATGAAAGATTAACAAATTGCTTTAAAAAGCAATTTGTAAAATTAAAAAATTTTATTTTTAATATTGTAAAATTAAAAAAATCAAAATATACAACCGTGCGTCTAGGGTGTTACCCTTGCGCACTACTAACAGGAGTTAAATATATACAGTTACATGTATATGTGTATATGCTTGCTGATTAATGCATAAAATATCTCTGGAAAAATGCACAGGAAACCAAAAACATTGATTGTGGGGAAGAGAATTGGGTAGCATGGGGAACAGACGGAAGATGACCTTTACTACTAACTTGTGTCATTTAAATTGGGGGGCATATGAAGTATTAAAAATAAAATACTATAAAACATAAAATAAATATAGCATTAATAAAGCATTATTTTAACCTAAGGTATTCATTGCTAACTCAAATATCCGAAGGGGAATTCTGTTTTCTGGGAAAACTGGCTAGCTAAAAGTGTAACTTTGGTACTACTCCTTTGTTGTAAATATAAACATTCCTATGATTCCTTTTTTTTTTTTGAGGTGGAGTTTCACTCTTGTTACCCAGGCTGGAGTTCAATGGTGTGATCTCGGCTCACTGCAACCTCCGCCTCCTGGGTTCAAGTGATTCGCCTGCCTCAGCGTCCGGAGTAGCTGGGATTACAAGCATGTGCCACCATGCCTGGCTAATTTTGTGTTTTTAGTAGAGACGGGGTTTCTCCATGTTGGTCAGACTGGTCTTGAACTCCTGACCTCAGGTAATCCAAACGCCTTGGCCTCTGAAAGTGCTGGACTACAGGCGTGAGCCATCGTGCTGGCCCTGTGCTTCTTTTATGACTTAACTTCTCCATCTGTAATGTGGTATAATATCACTAACACATATACCAGAAAAAATGAAACTGAAGCAGTAGCAATAAGAGAAGCAGTCTAAAAACACAAAATGCCAGGCTCCTGTGGCTATTAATAATGCTACATTTTGACATTGAAGTGAATTTAATCAATATTTGTGAATGAAAGAATGAATGAATGGATAAAGTGATAAGAGAAGGAAGATGGGAGAAGAATTATATTGAATTGCTTGAGTTTCAAGAAAACCATTTTAAAAGCACAGGAATAAATTTAAGGAGCAGACTTCAGGTAGATAGATCGTGTTAATGCATTGTGTTATCCAGTACTTCACTGAAGAATTGTGATACTCCAGGAAAGCAACACAGCCTAGCAGCTGATGCCACGGGTTTTAGAATCAGGAAACTTACATTCATAGTCTTACATTCATACACA